TTGTTCGTCGGCTCGATATTCTTACACCGCGGGTCCGTCTCAGNCGCAATTGACCAGGCAGTTGGAAACTGCTAATTCTAGGATTTCGCAGCTAGAGACTAACCTTTCGGCGATGACCAGTCTCTTCAACATCATTGCAGTGGATAATCCGACATTAGCAACTGTCTTGCAAGGGCTTCAGTTTCCTCCACCGCCTCCTCCACCTGACGGTCCTACGCAATTCGAGCAAGAATCCGAAGAGATGATCCGGGAAGATGTCATCAACCTAAGGACCCAACAACAAGAGTAGATAAGGATTTTTATTTCATTTGTATCGCATATTTTGTTTTATAATGTTTTTAATTTTTAATATATTTTTATAATATTTTTAATATATTTTTATAAAAATTTTTATTTTAAAAAAAAATAAAATAAAATAATCGACGCTAAATCGATGCTATTTAGCGTCGAATTAGCGTCGAACTTGTCGAAAGTGACGACGCTAATTCGATGCTAAATAGCGTCGAATTAGCGTCGATCTGTTGCATCGAAACACTGTGACGCTAAATCGATGCTAATTAGCGTCGAATTAGCGTCGAAATATTAGCGTCGAATTAGCGTCGATTTAGCGTCGAAAGTTAATTAGCGTCGAGGGTTTAGCATCGAAATCATTTTCGACGCTAATTCGACGCTAAGGGCTTTTAGCGTCGAATTAGCGTCCAATTACGCTGACGCTAAATGTTTGTTTTCTTGTAGTGAATCTTTATATAATAAGCTAAATACTATATTTTTTTACCTACATTAAATGGATATTAGAATATTTGAAAATAAAAATCATAATATTTTATAATATACGGAAAAATTAGCAATAACAAATATCAAATGGTATATCTCTCGTATAGATAAATATGATCTACCATACAAAATTAAATATGCACGACACTTAGATTGAATGTAAACTTTTTAATGTAAGTTGAATACGTTTGAGATAATGAGTTTTCTTAAATTTATTTGAACTCACCAAACACAAAAAAATATCAAAAAATAAAAATGATGATTTTCAAAATTCAAATATTAGTGTTTGATTTTGTAAAGTTGTATGATT